AAAAGTAAATACACGCCAGACACGATGGCTCACACCTGTAATCCCAGCATCTTGGGAGGCTGAGGTGGGCAAAGGAGGTCAGGAGTTCAAGACCAGTCTGAGCAACAGGGTGAAACCCTGTCTCTACTAAAAATACAAAAATTAGCTGGGTGTGGTGGCCCACGCTTATTATTCCAGCTACTTGGGAGGCTGAGGCAGGAGAATTACTTGAACCCAGAACTAGGGAGGCAGAGGTTGCAGTGAGCTGAGATCGCACCACTGCTGCACTCTAGCCTGGGTGAGTCAGACTCTGTCTCAAAAAAGAGTCAATACAGTCATCCCTTGAGATCCCTGGGGGACCAGTTCCAGGAATGCCCCCCAACCTCCCTGCATATAACAAAATCCATGGATGCTCAAGTCTCTTATGTAAAATGTCATATTTGCATATAACCTGGGTACATCCTGTAGTATTCTTTAAATCATCTTTAGATTACTTATAATGTGATGTAAATGCCATGTAAATAGCAGTTACACTGTGCTACTTCATAAACAATGACAAGAAAAAGTCTGTACATATTCAGTACAGACACACACACACTTTTTTCCCCCAAATATTTCTGATCCGTGGTTGGTTAAATCCACGGGAACAAAATCCGTGGATACAAAGGGTCAACTATAGTCTGGCATATTTTTGTCATAATGAAACAATGCTCTAAGTCTTCCCAAGACCTACATTTAAGAATCTATTCTAATGGCTAAATAAAAAAACATTCCAACTCTATTAAAAAAAAAAACTAAAATGTCAGAAAAAGACTAAAAGAGCAGCCATAAAGAATTAAATCATGTCCTTTGCAGCAACATGGATGCAGCTGGAGGCCATTACCTAAGCAAATTAACAAAAAACAGAAAACCAAACAGAGCGTGTTCTCACAAGTGGAAGCTAACCACTGGGTACAGAGGGACACAGAGAAGGCAACACCAAACACTGAGGATTCCAAAAGTGGGGAGGGGGCAAGGGTCAAAAAACCACCTTTCAGGTGCTACGTTCACTACCTGGGTGACAGGATCATTAGAAGCCTAAGTCTTAGCAACACACAATAGATCTATGTAACAAACCTGCACATGTAGCCACCTTATCTAAAATTTAAAATAAATACTTTAAAAAAAAGAAAAAGACTGAAAGAACATACATTAAAATGTTAAGCAGTGGTTTCCATCTTGAAGAACAATTTTTTATTGGAATGTTTTTTCTCTACATTTTCAGTATTTTCAGTAGTAAGCATGTATTAATAAATTTAGAATAAAATCTTTTCCTAAAAAAGATGTTTAAGTGAAAAGACAGAATCTAAAGTGCTACATACAGTAAGAAGCTAATTATGTAAATAAGGGATTGTGAAAAAGCTAGGATATATCCAAAAGCACTAACTGTGGCTATTTTTAAGTAGTAGGATTTGTTTTCTTCCACATACTTTGCTTAATCACTCTAAATTCTCTTACAAATGTACATCACTTCTAAAGTTAGAAAAAAAATGTTAAAATACTATAAGAAGATCTATTACAGGGGCCGGGCGCGGTGGCTCACGCCTATAATCCAGCACTTTGGGAGGCCGAGGCAGGTGGATCACGAGGTCAAGAGATCGAGACCATCCTGGTAAACAAGGTGAAACCCCGTCTCTATTAAAAATACAAAAATTAGCTGGGCATGGTGGCGCGCGCCTGTAGTCCCAGCTACTTGGGAGGCTGAGGAAGGAGAACTGCTTGAACCCAGGAGGCGGAGGCTGCCGTGAGCCGAGATCGCACCATTGCACTCCAGCCTGGGTAAGAAGAGCGAAACTCCATCTCAAAAAAAAATAAAAAAATAAAAAATAAAAAAAAGATCTATTATAGAATATTCACCCAATTAATACCTTTTAATCATAGAGGAAATCTATTTTTCCATTAAAGTAAGTGGCCTACTATTAAGCTTGAATATTTTTCTTCAGATATCTCCAGTGCCACGGCATGTGTGCCAGTGGGTAAATTTGACCCTTTAAGATGACAGTAAAATTTATGAACTAGTGGGTTAATTTTTTTTTAATCTAAATTCTAATTGTATTTCATTTTCCCAAGACCTCGTGTTTCCACTCTCAACAAATCAGTTTTGGGGATGATATAAACTTAAAATGCCATAGCGGAGTCACTTGGTAGTCACATATAGAGAATACTAAATGGCAAATCTGAAAGGCCGAAGCTCAGAAAGCAAAAGGAATCAAATGTGATAGCAGGAGCTCATGCTCATTAAATATTTAACTTTTCCTCACCATATATTTCTCTTTCTGTTCTTTGCTCAGTCCAGAATTTCTTTTCTTCCTGAGTTCAGCCACTTTTTCCTTATATCGAAGCTGCCTCTCCGTTGGTGCCTAAAAGGAAAAAGGAGAAAACTGAAAAGCTTGCTAGAAAACTCATTATGAAGCTAAGCTTCAAAATGAAAGTGCCAAGGCCCAGTGCATTGGCTCACGCCTGTAACCTCAGCACTTTGGGAGGCCGAGGCAGGCAGACCACCTGAGGTCTGGCCAATATAGTGAAACCTCGTCTATACTAAAAATACAAAAATTAGCCAGGCATAGTGGTGCGTCCCTGTAATCCCAGCTACTCAGGAGGCTGAGGCGGGAGAGTCACCTGAACCCAAAAGGCAGAGGTTGCAGCAAGCTGATCATGCCACTGCACTCCAGCCTGGGAGACAGAGCGAGACTCCATCTCAAAAATAAAAATTAGGGCCGGGTGCGGTAGCTCACACCTGTAATCCCAGCACTTTGGGAGGCCAAGGAGGGTGGATCACAAGAGATCGAGACCATCCTGGTCAACATGGTGAAATCCTGTCTCTACTAAAAATACAAAAAATTAGCTGGGCATGGTGGTGCGTGCCTGTAATCCCAGCTACTCAGGAGGCTGAGGCAGGAGAATTGCCTGAACACAGGAGGCAGAGGTTGCGGTGAGCCGAGATGGCGCCATTGCACTCCAGCCTGGGTAACAAGAGCGAAACTCCGTCTCGAAAAAAAATAAAATAATAAAATAAAAATTTAAAAAATTAAAAAGTACCAAAAATGTTTTAAAACTTTTAAAGAGGAAAAAAATGACAGAAATGTTCTAGCCACATTGCAAATAATATGGCAATTTTATTTTATTCATTTTTATTATTGAGGCAGGGTGTCGCTCTGTTGCCTAGGCTAGAATGGACCACCACAATCATGGCTCACTGCAACCTCTACCTCCTGGGCTCAAGCCATCCTCCTGCTTCAGCCTTCCGAGTAACTGGGACTACAGGTGTGTACCACCAGGCCTGGCTAATTTTTTCATGAATATGACAATTTAAAAGTTCTAAATCTGGTTCTCATCACCCCATTACCTTTACTGCCAATTAAATATAGGTTCAGAAATACAAACTTATTTTAATATTAACATAAACCAAGGATGGACATCTCCACCAAAGCAACAAGAATAAAATTAAGATCATTTCAACTAATCATTTATAGATACAGAATAATTACTGTCTTCCAGTTAATGCTAATGGATCTGATCAACAGTGGTACAAAACTTCATTTACATACATTCATTTAAATAGAAAAACAGAATAATAATAAAACCCAAGGCTGGGCACAGTGACTCATGCCTGTAATCCCAGCACTTTGGGAGGCTGAGGAGGGTGGATTACTGGAGATCAGGAGTTCAAGACCATCCTGGCCAACATGGTGAAATCCCGTCTCTACTAAAAATACAAAATTAGCTGGGAGTGGTGGCGTGCTCAGTTACTTGGGAGGCTGAGGCAGGAGAATCGCTGGGAGGTGGAGGTTGCAGGGAGCACTCCAACCTGAGCAAAAAGAGCAAAACTCCATTTCAAAAAAAACGAATAAAACCCAAGATAGACAAGGAAGTAAGTGTAGTTACCACTTACGGAGTGCTCTTTACCTGCCAAGCACTGGGTATTTAACACACATAATTTAGCTGACTGCCCTTCAAGGTGGGCATTATTTACCTCTGCTTATTAACAAAGAAGTAACGTTTAGAGAGGTTAGCTGACTTCCCCAGGACAACACAGCTAGAGTTACAGAATCAGTATTCAAATTCAGATCTGTTTGGCTCCAAAGCCAAACTTCTTCCTCATCACCATACATCTCTGCTTTCCACCAATAATCTAACTGCAAAAACAGACACCTAAATGATGAACAAAATATAATATGTGACAAAGGCTGACATTTCGAGAGCACTACAAAGGGAATACATGAGGAAGAAATTCAGTAACAGTGGGAGAGAATTTGGAAAAAACTCCTACAACAGGTGAGAACTGCACAGGCCTTGAAAGAAAATACAATCTCTTCTTGGTAGAGGGATAGCATTCCAGGCAGGAAAACAGCAAGAGTAAAGACCAAAGCCATTTAGGGAAGAGCAAGGAATTAAGCGCAATGTGGCATGAATGTTGACAGAGGCAGGAAGAGGATTAAGACCAAGCCAGGATGCTTCCTATAATCCAAGGGAAGAGAGACGAGTAGAAGAAAAATGACACAGTCAACAAGCGTCAAATGCTGAGAAGTTACTGGTGGCCTTGGGAAGGTGCTAGCAGAGTGGAGAGGTCTGAAAGCAAGCTACAATTTTCTAAAAAAAGATGCAAAGTGAGGGAATGAAGCAGCAAGTGTCATCTTTTGAATAATCAGAATAATCTATTATTACAACTACTATAGATAGCATGATTCCCTCATTCATGAAGTAGAAGTGTTTGCTTTGTGAAAATTTACTATTTGAAAAACAAACGTGATTCTAAGTTTACATCTTGGAAGAAATACCACAGGAAATGAGGCATAGATATGTCTGAAGATAATTATAGAGGAGATCCAAGAAATGGACCTCTAACTATGGCCAGTGCTTTCACAAGGCCCATACCTGGTGCCTGGTTGCATGCCTGTTGTTGTCATCTTGCCTGTGAGACAGCATCCTTTCTTCTATCTGCTTATCCCGGCTCTGTGCTCTCACCTGCAACCATCAACAACGTCAATAAATCCACCTGCTTCTAAGACTACGTTTACTTAAAGCATAAGAATACAATAATAATGCCTTGAATTTATGTTGTACTTTACTTTCAAAGGGTCTTTACACCTATTATCACAATCTCTACAAGAAAGACATAAGGCAGCTTCACATTCTGCCTTCTCAGCCAATAACAGAATCAGAGAAGTTGAAATGGTCACAGCTAAATAATGGGATCACTAAAATTTTAATCATGTCTGATGACTGAGCCTGGACTCTTCCTAAAGTATAATAAATAAGAAAAAGCATGAGGAAGTTCAAGAATAGAGTAAGGAAGTACAAAGAAAACATTAGAAAACCTGGGTTTGGGCTGAGCACAGTGGTTCATGCCTGTAATCCCAGCACTTTGGGAGGCCGAGGTAGGGGGATCACCTGAGGTCAGGAGTTTGAGACCAGCCTGCCAACGTGGTGAAACCCCATCTCTACTAAAAGTACAAAAAATTAGCTGGGCATGATGCCAGGTGCATGTAGTCCCAGCTGCTCGGGAGGCTGAGGCGGAAGAATTGCTTCAACCTAGGAGGTAGAGGTTGCAGTAAGCCGAGATCATGCCACTGCACTGCAGCCTGGACAACAGAGTGAGACTCCATCTCAAAAAAAAGAAAACCTGGGTTTGACCCCACGTGGTGCCTCACATCTGTAATCCCAGCACTTTGGGAAGCCAAGATAGGCAGATCACTTGAGGCCAGGAGTTCAAGACCAGCCTGGAAAACATGGTGAAACCCCATCTCTACGAAAAATACAAAAATTAGCCAAGCGTGATGGTGCACACCTGTAATCCCAGATACTTGGGAGGCTGAGGCATGAGAATCACTTGAACCCAGGAGGCAGAGGTTGCAGTAAGCAGAGATCACGCCACTGCATTCCAGCCTGGGCAACAGAAAGGAACCTTAACTGTGTAGTTATGTGACCTCAGACAAATCACATCAGCTTTCAATAGTTTCTGCTTCATAATCTAGGAATGGGGAACTGACATCCACTGCTTATTCCACTTCACCACTAAAACTCAGCATGGTCAACAGAACAACTGGCATTTCTCCACAAATCTGCTCTACCCCAAATCTTCCCAATATGAATAAATGAAAATACTGTCTGAATAGCTGATCAGGTCAACAACTTGAATGTTACCCTAGATTCTTCTCTTTTCTCACACCTCACATCAAATCCATCAACAAGCCTAACAGGTTGCTCCACTCTCAAACATATCCCGAATCCAACCTAGTCTTAGAATTGCTGCCCATACAAAGCTAGTCCAGGCCACCAACTACTGCCTGAACTTCCATGCAGTCTCCCAACCACCCTACCCTGCATCAGCTCTTGTCCCCACACTGCATTCTCCATATTAGCAAGCCTTCAGTTTTAAAAAGTGTGCATGAAATCCTATTGTGCCTTTCTTAAAGCCCCCAAATGCTTCCTATTCTATCAGAACAAAAATATATTACTGTGCCAAGGTCCACAGGTCCTTCATGATCTGGATCCAGCCATACACAACCTATTTTAATTCAGCCTCTCAAACACAACGGTTTAACTGCGCCTCATGGCCTTTGTACTTGCTGTCCCTTCCACTTAAGTATCTTTTCTCCTAGATCTTTACACAACTGCTTCTTTGCCATCATCCATTTCCCAGATCAAATGACAACTCCTCAGTAAGTTCTTCCAGAACGACCCTGGGAAAAGGAGTTCTGTCCCCACCCTCACCCCGAAAACAGTCACTCTCTGTATCATTCATCCTTTTTTCTCACAATATTTATCACTGCACAAAATTACTTATTAATTTGAAGGCTTATGTCGCTGCCCCCTATGAGAACACGAGCTCCTTAAATGCAGTCTTTTATTCACTGAATCCTCAGATACCTGTATTTAGCACAAGCAGCTATAGGAATATATGACTGAATACAAACAGTTACATCACTGATTGCAAGGATGTCCTGGGAAACTCAAGAGCAATCATGTATATGCAGGTTCTTTAAAAACACTAGAGCTGTTAATAAATGTGGGGAAATTTGTCTAATCTTTCCACTTAAGGATCTACATGTAATAAAAATATATCATCTCAGAAATTCTCCTGCTGTTCTATGCACACGTTCCAGTAGTAAAGATGGATTATGCTGAGCCTAATGCCCCTTGCAAAGATGAGCGAACAAAGAAGATAAATTCAGGATAGAAATGTTTTCCTTTTGTAAGAATTTTCTTCACCAAACTGAAATTTTTCTTTTTCTAAAATAAACTGCTTAACGTAACATGGTCATATTGCTACAAACCAACAATTTCAAAAGCAATAGACATCTCTGGAAGACTTTTATGTAAAATGATCCATGGTATCAGATCATTATATTTAAAGACAAGTGGTAGAGAACAACTCTCAGAAAGCAGAGATCGCAGTTATTTTCAGAGAAAGTACCACCTTAGGAGCCTTGCATGCTTTTAACACAGGTATGGGCAGTTTTTTCTGTTTTGATTTAGTCCCAGACTAATGGGAAGACAATGAGAAGACGTACAACTTACTTTTACACAGAGCAGAAACTGCTGCTTATAAAAAGATTTTGAATGAAGAAGGACAAGAGTAGGGTCATAGACCTTAAAATCCACGTAAGCATGGAAAGTACTACTTGGCTGAAAGACTAAATACACAAAAGAAACTTTCACCCCTGTGGTCTAGCTGCATATAAGAGAATACTTCCTGACTCAGGGAAAAGTAATGTTAGCTAAGGAATCTAACTTTCCTCAGAATGAAATTGGCTCAGACAGGAATAAAACTGTGACCCTGGCCTCATTAGCAAAGTAACAACAACAAAAACAACAAGAATACTTTGGTCTAACCAGCTTGGATAACCTGTCCAATACCACCGGAGCAATCCATTTAATTAATAGCATTTTCCACGCTTGCTTCCCCATAATTAGATCTTTGGTTCCATCCTTGGGAACAGCAGCCCACACAGGAACATACAAAACAGGATCTGAGTCTCTACTCTTAAATACATCATTTCAAAATCCCAAAGGTTATTTAGGAGCTATGTTTCCAGAATTTAAAAGACAAATTAGCCAAGAGTAGGTGTAACTGAGAGTAACAAAAAGTATTTCACAGAAATGGACAGAAAAAGGGACAAGAATTATGAAAAGTTTTTAAAAGCAAAATGACTTCACAGATGTATCAGAAGAGAACTGAATGCATAAATATTAAGATCACATATTTATGCAAATTAGTCCATAGTGGAATAAGTCCCTTGCAGTTTTCAAAGCCAATTTTCTTTTTGTTTTATAAGACATATTTATTATTTTTCTGACCAAAGTGCAATGCTTTTTAAATCTCTTTAAACAAATAACTATGAAAAAAGTATTCAAGAAAATAAAATACAAATGGGAAACTTAACTAGATTGCTTCTTCTAATTAATCCTAACCTTTTATTAAGTCTAGAAAACAAAAAAACCTGGCCGGGCGCAGTGACTCACGCATATAATCCCAGCTCTTTGGGAGGCCGAGGTCAAGAGATCGAGACCATCCTGGTCAACGAGGTGAAACCCCGTCTCTACTAAAAACACAAAAATTAGCTGGGCATGGTGGTGCGCACCTGTAGTCCCAGCTACTCGGGAGACTGAGGCAGGAGAATTGCTTGAACCCAGAAGGCCGAGGTTGCAGTGAGCCGAGATTGTGCCACTGCACTCCAGCCTGGGTAACAAGAGTAAAACTCCGTCTCAAAAAAAAAAAAAAAAAAGGAAGCAAAAAAACCTTTAAAGTGTTACTAAAATGCTAACTGAATCATTTTAGCATAAATCTAGTCACATGCATTTCAAGGTTCCACTGCTAGAAATTTTAAGATCAGCGGAATCATGAATAACACTATATAACAGATTACAAGGAACACAAGCATTAGATGTAATCCTTGCCTCATACCCTTAGATTATGTCAGAATAAAGCTGACAATTCTGCCAGACTCTGAAGTCCTAGTGCCCCCAACCCAAATCTTGGAAGCAAAGACTATGCCCTGTCATACAACTTTGCACAAGTTGTAGTAAAACAAAGCCTAAGTTTTCTCACCTTTCTATAGCCAGTGGTCAGTTATTTGATAAATACTAAAACACTGCTAAGAATCCATTTTCAGTTTGTTTACCAAAGACATTGTACAAGAACTGACTACACAGAAAAGTTCCTTTGATATTTGGTCCACAAATTCAGTTAAGGTTGGAAATTTAAAACTTGCAAGAAAAAGAGAAAGTGGGTATCCCTAAATCCTAACACGTTGTAATTGTTAAAGGGATATATATATATATATATATATATGCATAATAAAAAGTTTTGCTCACAGAAGGCACAAACTATAAAAGGATATCCCTTTTGAAATAAAAAAAAATAAACTAGCTGATACCCTTCTTTGTTTAGTGAGCACCATAACTAAGATGAAGTTAAACCTGAATTCACCGTCTATTCCTGTGACAACAAAAAAACATAAATAATTTAATTTGTTTTACCACATACTTTCCAGCCACTGATTGAAATGTGGTTATAAAAGATTAAAACTGCCTTAAAAAGGGGTTGTGATAGCAGCTATCAAAGCAATATTCGAGCATGATTTCAAGGATGCTTTCAGGTTTAGAATTAGCCTTCCTTGTCAAAAATCTTTACAACTTCATCAAAAACTTCATCAATAGATTTAGAAGCATCTATTTTCTTCACTTTCCCCATTTCTTCATGTAAGTCAGTAATCAGCTTTGTTGACTGAAGGTAGGTCTGAATTCTCTTTTCCAAGCTCTCTCTGCTGTCATCACTCCCACCACTACTCTTTCCCCTCTCAGACATCATTCAATACAGATCTCATTATTACAGTCAAAAAACAGAACGAAAGATACATCTGCCTTCCCATCTATGGTCTTGTTCCAACCTTGAAGGTTGTCTTGATTTCTTGGAAACCCATCAATCAAGAATTTATTCTTCTGAGCATTGGCAGCCATTGTTTGATCCATTTCCCTCTTTAATAAACTGATGGTTATCTCAACTGGTACAATTTTTCCTTCTTTAATGTACTTTTCAATAAGTTCACCATACTGTAAATCTGGGTTCTTCCTTTCATCACAAAGCAGCTCTCCTGCAGAAAGGTGTGTATAGCCGTATTTCTCAACGATGTGGGCGCACTGTGGCCCCTTGCCGGAACCAGGGCCGCCGAGGACAAACACGACCAGCGGCTTCATGAGACGGGAGGGCAGAGGAGAATCAGGTGGAGGTTCTGCAGCAAGAAGCTAAGGCCCAGGACGTGGAGCAGCCGGCTGTGGCAGCGGCTCAGCATACACCACGCCTCAGCCGGACACTGAGGGCTCAAAGCCGATTTTCAATAGAAAATATCAATGCACTAGTGGCTAATGTTCCAAATGTTTCATAATCTCCTTGCTAATTTCTTTCAAAGCACTCATTACATATTATGATTCTTTTGCCTGTTTAACTTACTTTTGTTTAAAAAAGCACAGTTGTTTTTTATGTTTCCTCCACTACAATGTAAGAACAAGGACCCTGCCCTTCCTGCGGGCCACTGTATCCCCAGTGTTTTTAGCAAAGTGCCTGGCAAATGGTAAGCACTCAGTAAGTGTATGTTGAATAAATGAGAACACAATTACCTTGCATTCGTCAGCTGAGAGGTTATGATAGAGTGGGCATCCTGAGATGGAGAAATGTCTCTCATGTTTTCCTGTAAGGTGTCCTGTTAAAGGAGGGAAAACTTAATCTCAAGAAAGACAGGCTTAGAAAGTAGTATGTTTCTCTACGACTTACGCGCTTTAAACTTTCCTACAGAGTTTCAATTTTTTACAAGTACATAAAACTCTTAAGGAATAGACTAGGATCAAGAATACTTTGAGGTCCAGTACTGTGGCTCACACCTGTAATTCCAGCACTTCGGGAAGCCAAGGTGGGTGCACCACGAGCTCAGGGACAAGCCTGACCAACATGGTGAAACCCTGTCTCTACTAAAAATACAAAAATTAGCCGGGCGTGGTGACACACTCCTGTAGCCCCAGACACTCGGGAGGCTGAGGCTGGAGGATCACTTGAGCCTGGGAGGCAGAGGTTTCAGTGAGCTGAGATTACAGCACTGCACTCCAGCCTAGGTGACACGGTGAGACTGACTCAAAAACAAGAATACTTGGGAAGCTCAGGTTCATACTTTTCAAAGTTCCAATACATTAAAACCAAAGTCAAAGTAAACTTTCTCACTCGAGCCCAAGAGTTTGAGACCAGCCTAGCCAACGTGGCAAAACCCCGTCTCTACTAAAAAATACAAAAAATTAGCCAGGTGTGGTGGCACATGCCGGTAATCCCCAGCTACTCAGCTGGCTGGGGCATGAAAATCGCTTCAAACTGGGAGGTGGAGGTTGCAGTGAGCCGAGATCATGCCACTGCACTACAGGCTGGGTTACAGAGTGAGACTCTGTCTCAAAATAAATAAATAAATAAAAGTAAACATTCCTCTAATGCAACATATTTTTTATTTACCCTATGGTCTACCCCATTGAGAGGCTAACTCCTAGGGATAAATAATACAATCAGGCCCTATTCTGACCTATCTCCTCCTTTTCATTCTGGTCACTCTGCCCCAAGTATATTGGCCTCTAAGTGTTCCTCAAACTAGTTAACTACACTCTTGCCCAGAGACTTTTGCAATTGCTTTTCTCCCTACCAATAATGCTTATTCTCAAACTTTCAAACAGCAAGTCTCTGCTCATATGTGACCATATCAGAGTAGCCTTCCCTAGCCATCTACATATGTATGTGTCACATATACATATGTATACACCCAACTGTATACATATGTATATACACAAATAATAGCCTACTCTCAGCACTCCCAGTTTTATTTTCCTTCACAGCATTTTATCTCCAGTTGATATATATCTGTCTGTCTGCCTTCCTCAGCCAGAATCTAAGCTCCATGAGAACAGACTTTGACTTGTTCACAGCTACATCCTCGTAACTTAAAACAGTGTCCAGCAGATGACCAATATTCAGTAAAGCATCTGCTGAATGACTGGCCAAATATAATACATAAAATAAAAGGAACAATTTAGCAACACATATTTAGTAACAAGCAGAAGCTGAGGAAAATTCCTTTTCTTGCAGCATGGCAAGTAGATCCCCTTAAACTCTCAAAGCACATTTGCCATCATCTCTTATAGTAGTGTAATATGTTGTCTTTCTTAGTTTTTCACTGTTTATTCCAAGGAAATCGATGAAGGCCTGAAACAATTATCTTCTTTGAGTGACAACTAGTATGGAGTTCAGGAGAACTTTGCTGTATTTATTTATTTTGATGGTATGAAATTATCTGAGAAACTCTTGCTAAGACCAGGAAATGATCCAAATTAATTAAACAGTACAGAAAACCACTGGGCATGGTGGCTCACACTTGTAGTCCCAGCTACTCAACAGGCTGTGTAGGGAGGATTGCTTGAGCCCAGGAGTTAAAGACCAACCTACAAGAACCTCATCCCTAAAAAATAAGGAAAAAAAAAGGCAAGCTTTAAGGCATGTGCCTGTAGTCTCAGCTACTTGGGAGGCTGAGATGGGAGGATCACTTGAGCCCAGGAGTTGTGGCCACAGTGCATCACACCCCTGCATCCTGCCTGGGCAACAAAGTGAGACCCCTATCTCTCTATAAAAACAAAGAAACCACTACAGAAAATGTACTAGTGGCCTGCCAAGCAGCAACTTACTCTGTTCTACCATTTTTTCTAACTTGATGGCTACATGCAAAGGGTGAATTTCAGAAGCAGATCCAGTACTGAAAGGCCCCTTATCTCCCAATCAGCATCTTCCAACTCTAGACAAAAGCTTAAGGCCAATATTCACACTTCAGCTCACTGAAGGTGCACAAATAAGGTTCAAACCACTAAAAGAATCTCTAAAGTAGTTCACTAAGGGGTAAAACGCATAAGAAAACAGCAAGATACTTATTTATCACAGAAGAAATATTTTATCTTGTTTATACTTATTAAGTACACAAAGCACAAGACCTAAAATTACTAGTTACAGAAGGCCAGGGTCTTATGTATACTCTTAATTTCACAGCCTCTTGACAGGAAATGTTTTTTCATTACCTTAACAGCTATGGCCGTGCAACCACTATTCTGCACTAGCTTACCCTTAAGTAGTCCTCACTGAGCTTTGTGCCACCCAACAAGGTATTTTAAGATAGTTTTTGTTTTTGCTGGGAAAAGGAGGGAATTTTTTAACTGGGAAAAGCTCTCGAAAAACCAGTTCTATTACCATGGGCCATAGGCCAAGAAGAGAAATGCTTTTATTCAAGGGAGCAACTCATTATCAATCAGCACATGACCACTGAAGAGCCTAGGAAGCTAAATCCCAATAGAACACAAAACACTTCTGGATAATGCTGGGAGAGAGAACCACAGAACAAAGGATGTCATAAAGCTGGGGCACACTGACCTAGAGAGTTACAGCCTGGTGTCGGACACTTCATATTGAAGTTGTAGCTTTCATGGAAGCGACGGCGCTTGGGGCGATGAGAGAGATCACTGCCTGAGTCCTTCAGGGACATGTCCTTGGCAATGCTTTCATCATGAGACACATTAGGGCTGGAGATGTCTATGTCAGACTCAGAAGAAGGTGCGTTTCCAGTTGGAGTTCGAGGTGGTGACTCATCATGATCAGCTGTATTTTTTGTTTCTAAAGCAAAAGCAATTGGTAGAAGTTATGAGTGGGGTTCTTTTGTCTAGAGGTTTACTATTCAGAAGAGTTTATGGGCTTCCCAAATCCTCTTTCTATGATTCAACCAGTAACTTTTAGCTACTCAACTGCTAGAAGGCTAAATGGAAAATGAAGAGGTACTACTACACCACTCCTTTCGTGCAACTTTAAATTCTGACTAAAATTCAATTTGGACTTTACCTATTATACTTATCTGTGTTTCTCCTGAGTGGCTAATCATGGATAATCAAAACTGGATGGAAATAAATTTTAAAAACATTACTATCCCACTTCCCTCCTAGGAGATACGTAGTACAGGAGATAAGCGAAAGTGATTGTCCTTCTGGATGACACTGAACAGATTTAATATGTGAATGGACTTAGACTCGAGTGAACCTGTGGTAGTCTAACAATTCGATCTTGAAATTCCAGACTCTGACTCAGGAATTGCAAACCAAATGCCTAAAGGGACTCAGCAAGGCCAAATAGACAGCTCATTGTCCATCTAAAGGGGACAACTGCTATTCAACTCCGGCCAATTATTACTATGGGTGACTGGCCACCCAGTGGTCCCAGATCTTTTCATTGTTTAAAATAAACTATTAATCCAGGCTTTCATATGAAATAACTGTGTTTTCAAAAACTAGCAACAAATTTAAAAAATTTTAAACACCATGCCAGCAAACCAACCAACCATGTGGACAGGCTAGAAGAAGTTCACTAGTCTGTAACCTCTGCATTGAGAAATTTAGAGATAAATGGACTGAGAATTATGGCTAGAAGAAGTCTGCTTCGGCTGGGTGCGGTGGCTCACATCTGTAATCCCAGCACTTTGGGAGGCCAAGGCGGGTGGATCACCTGAGGTCAGGAGTTCATGACCAGCCTGGCCAACCTGGTGAAACCCCATCTCTACTAAAAATACAAAAATGAGCTGGGCGTGGTGGCGGGCACTTAATCTCAGTCACTCAGGAGGTTGAGGCAGGAGAATCGCTTGCACCTGGAAGCAGAGGTTGCAGTGAGCTAAGATCGCGCCACTACACTCCAGCTTGGGTTGCAGTGAGAGGAGATCGCGCCACTTGCACTCCAGCTTGAGACAGCGAGACTCTGTCTCAAAAAAAAAAATATTGGAGAGAAATGGACTAAGTATGGCTATAAGAAGGTCTGCTTCAAGCCCTTTTCACTGGTGGTTGAGAAGGCTCAGTCTCTTTTTCCTGTTACAGGTCTGATTTAATATACTCCAGCTACTCTGGACCTTGAGAATACTCTGATAGCAAACTGTCCTCAGGAAGACATAAGAAAGGAAGCAATAAACAGCATTCATCTAGCTCAAGTATTAGGCATGCATCTGCAGTGGCCACAAGGCCTCCTTAAAGAGAAATTCACCCAGATGCTCTGTAATAGGTATGACTTAATAGGCTCTAAGTCATACCATACCCACTACTCACCTCTATCTGAAAAATCAACCACTTGCTCAGTTTCTGAGCCAGATGAACGAGTCTGCCGAAGAGGGTATTTTTTCGGTGTCACTGGGGTAGGCTGCTGCTGACTACGGGTCACTCTTCTGGTAGAATAAGCGGGCTCTTCCGTACCAAAAGACTGCAAATTTCGAACAGGGCTGGAATCTGATCCCAATTTTAAAAGAAAATTAAAAAAAAAAGATGGAAATCTGTTTTACTTCCTATCCATATGATTTATTAGAATGTAGCTCCTCCTCCTCTTCATATTTCACAAAATCCAACAAAGCTTTAAAATATCTATTTAATTAAATAAAATATCAGCAAAAGAGCCTAGCTCAGGTATACAGTATAATGTGGTACAGCATTAATACTTTAGGTTCTGGAATTATGACTGAAGTCGATTCAACTGCTTTCTACCATAACAACTAGCTGGGGCATCTCGGGCAAGTT